GCTCTTGCAGGGAAAAAATGAAAAGAAAAAAAAAATAAAAGAAAAGAAAAGAAAAAAGTTTCTTTCCATTTTCTGAAAAAAAGCTTTTGAAAAAGGAAAACTTAAATAATCCTTAGCAAAATAATCTAGCTTTACATTCAGTAAAAAAAAAAAAAAGACCAAAAAGGAAGGTGAAGTAAATGAGCTGGAGTTTTGCCAAAAAAGATAAATGGTTTGATAGCAGGTTTTGATGAGCCCAGGTTATTGGCTTGGTGAACTCCTGCTGATTTGCACTGGTGTTGGGGGCCCTAGCGAAGAGGCTGTCTCTCTTAACTCCCTTTTAAGATTCAGAATAAGTCTTCAATAGGAATTAACTATCCTTTGGCACAGGACTTAGCATCACACTGTGCCATTTAAACCTGTCCTCTCTGGAGCGCTGCTCTCCGTTGCTAACGCCCCGGAGCAGTTTGTGCAGCAGCAGCCCCGCGATGTCCCACTAACGGGATCTCCGCGGTTTCAGATTAGTTAGATGAACTTCAGCAAAGCGATGCATCCAGCACTTCCCCGCTCTCAGTGCATGAGTGCGTGCTGACTCACAGAAGCCTCTTTATCAGAAGGTCTTACAGTGATGCAGCCTGCCAGGAAAAACATGTATTCTTTGACCGTTCATAAAGCTCTGCCTACCTCCTGAGGGTCGGAGCTGTGCACGGAGGACTTCTTCCTCTCCTGGTTACTGTCGTGTCACACATTTCCCATCACAGGTAGAGTCTTTCAGTATTACACAGTTCAAGTGGCACAAGTCCCTTTGAGCTAAGGAAAGTGCCCATGTGTAACGTGGAACTTGTGCTCTACATTTACTGACCCAGATCAATCCTGGCTTGCAAATTTGGAATAGATGGAGCTTGAAATCTGGCAAGCTCTTTTCTTCCCCTCTGAAGAGGGTGTGCTTTGCCTGGGGAAGAGGAGTTTGAATGCTGAAAAAGTTACCAGCAGCTTAAAAATATGCTAGAAAGCTGTAGAGATTTGAGCGATCAAACCCTGTTCAGTTCCCTCCCGAAGATAAAGTGGGCACAATATGCAGATGCCACTGCCTTGTACAAGGCCAGTTTTAGATGAAAGAGCAAGTCAGACAGGCTCATGGGTGTTGCTCGTCTCACTGGAACGAACACAGACCAGTCCACCAGCAACCACCCGTGCATCTGCCACCATGTTGGCAGAGGCAGGGAGAGGAGACTCCATCGCTGTGCGCTGCTCACATCCTTCCCATGGGCTCTCCTCCCCATCCCTACCTAGTGAGGAGATAAGGGCCTAGCCAGCAACCTCCACGAAGTCCTCTGCGAGGCTCATGCACATTTACAGCTCTGCTCTTTGTGCATCTTTCTTTTTAAGATGGAGATATCTACTGACCAAGGTGTTGTCAGTGTTCAGAAGCCAGTGTTTGCAAGGAGCAATGCAAAATGCAATGCAAGGAGTAATGCAAAAAGTCAGAACTTGTTGCTTCTTCATAAATCCACAGTGCTCTTTTTGGTGGGCTTTTTAGCAGAGCACAAGTAGTGAAAGGCAGTGCCTGCCCCAGTCCTCCAGTCCATGTTCTAGACCCAGCATCAGCATCGGAGGGTGGCAGGGAAGGAGTGCGGGAAGAGTCTTGGCCACGGGAAGGTCAAGACCTTGGTGTTTACACTGCCTCTGCTGCTGACTGGGCATGACATTATATAATAAGTTTGTGCCTCACCCATCTCTGCTTGCAGTTAGTTAAAATACAGTTAGTTCAGATGCAGAAGTAAAATAGCTACCATGCACAATGTTGTGTGACATCTGCATTTTTAATTTCATCAGAAAACCTCATGCAGATGCTTTGGAAATGTGAAGACATTTTAAACAGCTCCCTCTGATTCAAAATGTCAACCAAAAGCAAAATCAGCTCAGAAAGGCATATTAACCACACAGAACGCATACATGCAGAGGATATATATTATTCATTACCTGTTCAGCCTTGCTGTCAGCAGCATATCTGAAAGCCAAATGTGCTGCGAATTGGTGTATTCTCATGATTGGGGACTTCCCCATTTCCCAGGAAGATGAATTTGGGGGCATGAGAATGACTTCTAATAAACACAGTGATAGCAGCGATGATGGTAAACGGAAGTGCAGCTTACCTTTTCCTCCCTCCTCCCCCGAAGGAAAGTACAGTGACTCATGTGTCAGAAGGAACACGCTAACCAAAAGACAGTCCATGCAGTTTGTAAATGTCCACTAAAAAACCCTCCCCTGGGACAGCTAATGACAATTAGTCACTCTTGAAGGCACAGGGTCTGTGGGCTTCTACAGATCGGCAGCAACAGGTTCGTCATTTAAAACGAAAACATGAGTCTCTAATATGAAAGGTACCCTGGAAACTGCATTTGAGATACGAGATGAGTTTTTCTGTCCCTGAGAAATGATAAGCCTTTGCTCTGAGGGGGAAAATCAGTAACCTACTGATGCAATGGAATGCATCAGTATTAGTGCATGGTTGTGGACTAAGGAAATACATACTTGCTTATCAAGCCCTTCTCAAGCAACTTGCAGGTATTCGCTCTAGAATGAAAGTGTTTACACATGGAGTTACCCTGGAAGAGCTCTCATATATACATATGTACATATATATATATATATATATATGTGTGTAGAGAGAGAGAGGGACATGCCTGAAGGACATAGTTCATAACTGACAGTCATATGCCTGTGGACTTCTCTACATGAAACAACGTAATATAAATAATGTGATTTTGAGGTCTCATAAATCACCACAAATCACCCTTCTTCCCATAATATGAAACCTGGCATCCTCTAACGTTTCCTCTGCTCCGCCACATTGTCCCAAGATCCCGTAATCGCAGCAGGCACGGATTCCTCAGTGATACCCCCAGGTGCTGTCAGGTGGTGGGGCCCCGTTGCCTCCTCAGTCCGGGCAGTGCCGCACGAGTGAGTAAAAGGCAGCAGAGGAGCAGGATTTCCTGTTGGAGTTTCCTGACACTGCTCACGACTGGGTGCAGCTGAAACAGCAACAGTGCGTGTGTATTTAACCAGATCTGCATTCGTGTGCATTTGCTATGCCTAGTTTGGGGCATGAGTCTTTCATGTAGAGGGCTAAAGATATGACAGGTGTGTTTGTTTTTAGGTGATTTTTTTTTATGAACTATGCTTTTGAAATTCAAAGTGACTTTCCTGGAGGGTATATGAACGGAGTCCAATTTTTCCAGCTCCCGGAACTGCGCCGTTGTTTTCTGTGGGCAGGAGGAATCTGCGGGCACAACCGTGGTGGGTGAGTCTGCACAGGATGGACAGGGCTGTGAGCCTGAGTAGACCCACAAGGCTGTGAGTAGATGAAAGTATCACTGTAAATATTCAGGGAAAAGGAAATAGAGTTATGTTTTTCAGGGTAGTGCTGCATATACTACATGTTTCATAGCAGTTGTTTCAGAATTGAAACAATTAGGGCCTAATGTATTAATAGATGTATCTGGAAAATAACCCAGCAGTATATCATGGATGAGCTGATACCAGCTGATATGGCTCCAGTGGATTCTTTTCAAGATTTGAACATACTTTTACTGATCTCCAGCCAGTATAAACCTTGATGAGAGCAGGATGCCTAGATCTCATGCATATCTTTGCAACTTCTCTTACAATCTTTGGACTGTACAGTCAAAAATGGCCTTTTGAATCAGATCCCAAAATCACTGAAGTGGTTCCTGTAGCACAGATAGGTACAAGGGCAGATTTCATGACTTCATTAGCCTTCAATGTCTTGAAAATACTTTAGATCCATTTCTAGTGCACTTAGATGGGAGGGTGATATGTCCTAGGCTTTGCCAGCTATGGGTACAACCACCTGCATGGGCAGGGAAAAGGGGACCCTTGAGCTATGATCAACAGTAGTCAGTCAGTGCTGCCATAAAAGTGTTGTCCCGTAGCCACTGCGGCAAGGATGGTGGTGGTGGGGAGATTAGAATGAGATGTCTTGTTACCACATGTCTCATTACAGCTTTGTTCAGTTCCATTGACACTGGTTCATTGACTTGTTCTACCTCAAATAGCTTTCTATACTGTATTAACTTGCTTATTAACTTTTTTGCTGCCATTCAGAGGGACTGATACAGGATGGAGAGTTAGGCAGAGAGGAAACTCATGAGGTTCAACAAGGACAAGTGCATGGTCCTGCACCTGGGCAGGAATGACCCCAGGTACCAGTACAGATTAGGAGTTGACCTGCTGGAAAGTAGCTCTGCAGAGAGGGATTTGGGAGTCCTGGTTGACAAGTTATGCGTGAGGCAGCAATGTGCCCTCGTGGCCAAGAAGGCCAGTGGGATCCTGGCCTGCATGAGGAGGAGCGTTGCCAGCAGGTCAAGGGACAGGATCCTGCCCCTCTCCTCAGCTCTGGTGATGCCGCACCTGGAGTATTGAGTGCAGTTCTGGGCTCCCCAGGACAAGAGGAATATTGAGCTTCTAGAGAGGGTGCAGCGGAGAGCAACGAAGATGATTAAGGGACTGGAGCATCTATCGTGTGAGGAAAGACTAAGCGAGCTGGGCCTGTTTAGTCTGGAGAAGAGAAGACTGAGAGGAGATTTGATCAACATGTTCAAGTACCTGAGGGATAAATAGGGAGGATCGGGCCAGGCTCTTTTCCAGTGACAAGACATGGGGTAATGGGTGTAAGTTGAAATACAAGAAGTTCCACCTCCCTGTGAGGAAGAACTTCTTTCCTGTGAGGATGACAGAGCACTGGAACAGGCTGCCCAGAGAGGTTGTGGAGTCTCCTTCTTTGGAGATCTTCAAAACCCATTTGGACGCAGTCCTGTGCCACGTGCTCTAGGTGACCCTGTGTGTGCAGGGAGGTTGGACTAGATGATCTCTAGAGGTCCATTCCGACCTCAACCACGCTGTGATTTTGTGAATTTGCCAGTTCCTTCCATAAGCATCAAATAGCTTGGCTCTTCAGAGTCATCTAATGATTTTCTCTCTACTTCTTTCAGCTCCAAGGCTCCTTGAAGAGAAAGTTGGTGGTCAATCTGTCACCTGTCAACAACAAGAGGCCCAATGGTGTTTCAGAGAGCTCTTTCCTTGACATTAAGAGGATAAGAGTGGGTGATAATCTCTCAATGGGACAAGGTGGACATCATGTTAACAATTGCCAAAGCCAGTCAATGTCAGGAACTATGCCTATGGGGCAAGGAACACAAAGAAAGGCTAGCAACCTAGCAAATAATACACATCCTAGTGGGAATGGTATATTTAATATGGCTTTGAAAGAGGTAAAAAAAGAACCAGGAGAAACCATGTCCTGCAGCAAACATTTAGATGGCCAGCTGTCCCATGAGAACGTGTTCCCTAACAGATATGGGGAAGACTCAGGGGAGCAAATGATGGATCCAGAGCTTCAGGAACTATTTAATGAACTGACTAACATATCAGTGCCACCAATGAGTGATCTTGAGCTGGAAAATATGATAAATGCCACCATAAAACAAGACGAGCCATTCAACATTGACCTTGGGCAGCAGAACCAGAGGGGCCCTGTGAGACCTCTGCAGATGGAGAAGATGGTTATAAAGAGTGAATATGCACCAGGCATGAATCAGGCACCTGTGGGCTCCCCACAGATGAGGCCTTCTTCTACAGGTCCAGCCTTCACTATGGCCACCGCTGCCATGTCCACCTCCTCACCCATCCCTTCGGTGCCTCAGAGTCAAACACAAGTATCACAGGTTTCTTCTGTGTCCAGTCGACCATTGCCTAACTGGCAAGAGGTGTCTCATGCACAGCAGCTCAAACAGATAGCAGCCAACCGGCAGCAGCATGCCTTGATTCAGCAGCAACAGCAGCAGCAAAACCAGACAGCCAATTGGTCCACCTTGTCTCCATCTGGACCTTCTCCTGGACCCTTTGTGCAGGAGAAAATCCCCAGTCCTTCCTTTCGTCAGCAGCAGTTCAGCCCACAAAACTCAGCAATGCTCGGGGTACCAGTGAATGGAAATCAGTCAAAAGGGATGAACAACTATGTTTATAAAACAACAGCTCCCCAGAGCAATCCCATGGACATAATCATGCAACAGAAGCCTCAGGACCTCAACAGAAACTTTATCAACAGTGCTCAGCCACCACTAGAGCAGCATCATGGCAACACAAAGCCTTTATTTCATTTTAACTCAGAGCAAACAAACCAGCAGATGCCTTCGGTTTTGGGTTCCCAAAGCAAACCTACCCTTCTGCACTACACGCAGCAGACCCAGAGCTCAGCCCCAGTACAACAGCCGCAGCAACAGCCACAACAACAACCACAGCCACAACCTTCTCAGCCTCTCCCGAACCAACCTCTTCAAAGACCACCCAATGTACCCCTAGCCATGCAGCAAAAAATGATGCTTCAGAAAATGCAGCAAAGCCAGCAAATCTCAGGTTTGCAGTATCCAGTCTCTCAGCAGCATAGACAGGTAAGACAAGTTTCTCCTCATTTGTAATAGAATCATTCCAGTGTGGAAGCAGAAATGTTTTTCCTCCAGGAAATGTGCAGTTGTGGCAAATAATGACCATCTTGGGATATGCTTCTTCAGGGCTGGTGATGCCATGTTTAGAAAGTACTTTGTCATAGTTGGTGGTGACATATTTAGTGTTTTTTGAGGTTTATCATGAATGCACACTAAAAAGAATCTAAAGAAAGGCATGTCCACAACACTGTTTTTTCTTTAGCCAGTAGAAGGAATATGCTACCACAGGAAGGTGAGATAATAGGGCAAAGATAAGATTATTTTGCAATCTTATCTAAATTTTCTATCTTACAAAATTTTAGGCTGTTTTGAATGTCAAAATTTTAACATATTCTTGTATAATCTAAGGTTGTGTATTTTACACCATTAATTTTTATGCCATCATTTTCCTTAGGGAGGCAAGGTTAGGAAATTATGCTTTTAGGTATCTTTTGACTCACATGACAAAAATATTGTTTTCACATTTGTTATCTGTTTGGCAAAGAAAAACTAAGACTTATCTGTGAGCTTCATAAACACTCATCACTTCTGGGAATATTCTGTGGACAAAATACATGCTTAGATATGAAGGTGAAGGCTGTCACAGATGCATCTACAGTTATGTAACACGTGGCCAGTGCCCACAGTTTCATCATGAGACACGGTGCTCTGCCATGGTGGTTGTAGCTCAGTTATGCTACAGAAGGTCACTAGTGTGTCCACATCCTAAGTTTCAGACCTCCCAATTGAAGGTGAGATATGTAATCTCTCTGTAACGCAAGAACTCAGAAACTAGAAAAAATGTGAAAAAAAAAAGAATGGAAGAAAAAAAGAATGGTATATTTTATCCTGTTTAAGCTAATCTTGAAACTTTTGGTGGGGCTTTGTTCAAATCATTTGATGGCATAGAATGACAATAGAGGTATACAGATCATTCCTGAATTTCGTTTATATCAAAAAGAACTACTGAAACTACTGAAAAATGAAACCCTAAATCTTCCCCTGAAAAGCAACATTGTGAATGAGTCATTCAGAGCTGGATTTTCTTGGCCAAACTGGGCGAACAACATAAAGTCTTTAAAAACATAAAGTAAATATAGTTGTACACATGGAAACCTTTCTCTGTTTAACTATTTTAGATTCCCTGATTAACTAACCGTAGATCTCTCCAACAAATAATTCCTTTTTCAGAGATCTCAGCAGGTGCCACATTTAGGCAGTTTGGGTGAGGAGGGGTTGCTGTGTGGGAAGGGGCTGCAGAACAAGCAGCCGTGGGAAGCAAGCAGAGCCTTGCTGTTTCACAGGAGGCCTTTCTGGCTATTCCTTACTCTTCTGGGGCCACTGTGTACTGTCTTAGGAGCATTTCCCCCATTTGCTTAGTAGACTGGCAGGCAGATGTATTTTAGCAGTTCCTTCAGCCATAGTGAAGCTTCCAGCAATCTGTCAGCACAGGAGAGACAGGCAGAACTTCTGCAAACTACTGTTTTTCTGAAAAATATGCAAGGTCACATTCTGGAAGGCAATAAAAACACTGCTTGAGGCAGTGTCAGTTCCATGCTCTGTGGAACTCTTGCACTGCAGCTCAGGGAGGTGAGCCACCAAGATGGTACTTGGCAACATGGCCACGGTAGTACTTGCAATATTTATTGAGAGTGTAGTGAGATCTCTCACCTGTGCAGCCACAAGATTTTTTGGATCTTAGGACTTTAGGTGAGATTCTTAGGAAACTTCCCCTAAATGAACTTTGCTGAGTGCCAAACTTCAGATATTACACAAAGGAGGGACTTCTGCCTATCATCATGGACTTCTCGTAGCTTTCCAGAGTCACCCACCATCTCACACCACTTCCCAGTTCAGTCTGCAGGATGTGGCTATCCTGACCCACAGCATAGGTGTGAAGCTTGAAAGCTTGTAGACAAAGATTACAGGGATTTTGCAGCAAAAGCACTGTTGTTCTGCTTGCTAGAAAGGTAACTGGATTTTTTAAGATCCTTACCAGCTGCTCCAGAGTTCTGCTGAAATGTAGGAAATCAGGCAAGTCTCTCAGTAGTGTGCCGTAGCCGCAGGAACAATATTTAGTAATATAGATGGTCTGTAAATTGCAAGATTTTGGATTGATTTGAACATAATTATTCACCTGGCCACATTTATGAATTCTGTGAACTCTATTAATAGAGTCTACCTATGCGGCTGCAGGAGCATGTCCAACTTCTAGTCAGGGCCTGAATCTTCACCTTGGCTCCTGGAGTGCCAGGGAGGGCAGCATTTGCCATGGTAATGGAAATCCTGAGAGTCTCAGGAAGTCTGAGAGCTGTGCAAAAGTCTGTTATATCTGCAGTCCTGGCTTCACCAAGACACCTGCCAAGATCCATCCTAATGAAAAACTCCTATAATCTAGTTTATATAGGCACTGAAACCACATTCAAGTTACAACGTGGATATCATTTCAAATTGGTTTCTGATATGTTAACTTTGCAATGAGGGTACATGTAAAATCTGTGAAGTAGAGTCAGGTTCTGATGATTCTCCTGTTTCATCCCACCCTTACCAAACTTGCAGGTTCTGACCGCTTCACTTCCCACTTGCCTCCAATTCTGTCAAGTCCACATGTACAAAATATCTATATATGAGATCAGCCCTGTCCCACCTGACTTGCTCCCCTCTTAGTCACCTCAGATAACAGCCTTACCTGGTGTCTGAATATCAAAGCCCATCTGAATTTTGAGGAACCTCAGATGAAATATGGATGGGGCACAATTTGGAGAAAAATCCAGACCTTGCACTAATCTGAGATGCCATCAAGGAGAGTGGCTAGTGCAGTCAACTGAACAGGGTATCCTATTTTAGCTAGGTTTTGGTACACTGCTCTATGATATGGCTATTAGCCAGGCATTATTAGTGCCCCAAGTACAGAGCTCTCTTCCTCATAGATCCACTCTGAATGTTAAATTAGTCCTTAACATTGTCATGCCAGTAACAATAACTAAGGGCAAAGTAAGCTAATAGGTCAATAGGTCAAGACTTGCTCATTTCAGCAATGAGGACATCACAACATCACCTTCTTTAACCTGCACCCTCTTCTTTCCTAGAGCATAGGAATAACCCCAGACACCAGTACAGGCTGGGGACTGACCTTCTGGAGAGCAGCTCTGCAGAGAGGGACCTGGGTGTCATGGTGGATGACAAGTTGACCATGAGGCAGCAGTGTGCCCTCGTGGCCAAGAAGGCCAATGGGATCCTGGGGTGCATTAAGAAGAGCATCTCCAGCAGGTCGAGGGAGGAGAGGCCACATCTGGAGTACTGTGTCCAGTTCTGGGCTCCACAGTACAAGAGGGATGTGGAGCTGCTGGAGAGAGTCCAGCGCAGGGCCACAAGGATGATCAGGGGCCTGGCACATCTGCCCTATGAGGAGAGGCTGAGGGAGCTGGGCCTGTTCAGCCTGGAGAAGAGAAGGCTGAGAGGGGATCTAATCAGTGTCTATAAGTACCTCAAGGGAGGCAGTGAGGAGGATGGTGCTGGCCTCTTTTCACTGGTGGCCACCAACAGAACTAAGGGTAATGGCCACAAACTGAAGTACCAAAAGTTCCGCATGAACTTAAGGAAAAATTTCTTAACAGTGAGGGTGACAGAGCACTGGAACAGGCTGCCCAGAGAGGTTGTGGAGTCTCCTTCTCTGGAGATCTTCCAAACCCACTTGGACGCAGTCCTGTGCCACGTGCTCTAGGTGACCCTGCGTGTGCAGGGGGGTTGGACTAGATGACCTCTAGAGGTCCCTTCCAACCTTAGCATTCTATGATTCTATGATCCTACAGTCTCCTACCTTTGAGGAGTTCTGCTCATCATTAACAGTGATACATGATTAATTACCAGCATTTACTAATTGACCTCATGATTAATATTTATTTTACTCATGCCCTGTTTTTTTTTCATGAGGAATCTGGATTTGATTCTGCTAGATATCGCTCAACTCCTTCTCAGATCCCAGATTCATCTGGACTACAAGGACCATTTAAGAGCAGGCTGGAATGCTTTGTCTATAAAATCACATTTTTAGATGAACAAGCCCACTCTCAGGATTTCTATTCCTTAAGCTTTAAGATAGCCAAAAAGCATTTGAACTTGACTGTGTTTATGAGTCCAGGATTGCTAAATGAAAATGTAGGACTTATAATTTTTCTGCTTGTCACAATCACTTTGTATCAAATTGGAGGGAGTTTGTAGTGGGATT